GTAGTAGTAGTAGTAGTAGTAGTAGTAGTAGTAGTAGTAGTAGTAGTCGTAATAGTCGTAGTAGTAGTCGTAGTGGTAGTGGTAGTGGTAGTGGTAGTGGTAGTAGTAGTCGTAGTGGTAGTGGTAGTGGTAGTAGTGGTAGTGGTAGTGGTAGTGGTGGTAGTCGTAGTGGTAGTGGTGGTGGTAGTGGTAGTGGTGGTGGCAGTCACTGTACGTGCAGTCGCAGCAGCAGCAGCAGCAGCAGCAGTGGTAGGTAGTCGTTCTAGTTAAGCAAGGATCTTTAAGGGCAACAATAGCAGAAGAGTAGACAATTAAGAATTCATCAAAAAACACCTGCGTGAAAAAAGCTTTTTGATATTACTTTCCATAAAGCTATTCAGTGTGTGGGAATAATCTTGCAACAACTTTTATCATTCGATCTATTTGTCAGTACGGACATGTACAGACAATTGTACATACAACTGTTACAGTATACTGTCAGGGGACCCACTTACATTGAAGTTGCAAAACTGCCGATACATTGAGCTATAGGGTATACTAGATATGCGCAAGAGTTATATGTGGTCAGTGGTCAGTGAGTGGTCGTGGGATAGTGTTGTGTTAACACCTGATAACACCACAAAGGAGAACATGATGGATATGGAAAAATTAATAATGCATCCTCTTGACCTTCAGGTTTCCCCGAATGTGTAGCGAAGGGTTCTCGTTTAACTCTGGGGGTCTGGGGGTGGAGCCTTGTTCGCGACTCGTTGTCGTAGCGACCACAACCGTTGCGTCCGCAACCGACCGCAACTGTTCGCAGTAGAGCGCTATGGCGCTCACATTGGGGGGAAGCTTTTGCAAAGGGTTTTGGGTGGAAGCATGACGTGTCAGATTCGTGTGAAAAATAGCGAGGAAACTTGTGGAAACGTAAGAAGTTGAAGTGTGGAGGATGATTTCACTGCACAGGTGCAGCGTTTTGTGAGGTCGCAGTTTTCTGCGCAGTCACATTGGGATAGGCGTTTAGAGGGAGGTGTTTTTGGGGTGTTGGATGTGGCTGCGACATGGGGATTTGCGTTTTAGGCTGTTGCTTCGAAGGTGTGTTTTCGTGACAAGTCTCAGCTCTAATGGCGACTTTGGTGAATGGGAGTGTGCTCCGAACGCGTCGAAATCATTCCAAATGTGTGGTGTGATGCGAATTCCAAAAGAGTGCCCTACAAGACTGTCCCACAAGACCGTCCCATAAGAGTGTCCCACAAGAGTGTCCCACAAAAGTGTCCTGCAAGAGTGTCCCGCAAGAGTGTCCTACCAGGGTGTCCCACCAAACTTTCTCACAAGAATTTCCCACACGAATGAATGTCATACAAGAGTGCCCGACAAGAGTGCCCTACAAGAGTTTTCCACAAGAGAAGAGTGCCCCGCAAGAGTGTCCCACAAGAGTGAACTACAACTTCCAGACTGCCCTACAAGAGTGACATACAAGAGTGTCGGACAAGAGTGTCCTGCAAGAGTGTCCGTCCAGACTGCCCTACAAGAGTGTCCTACAAGGGTGTCCCACAAAATTGTCCTACAAGAGTGTTCTGCAAGAGTGTTCCACAAGAGTGTCATACAAGAGTGTCCCGCACGAGTGTCCTACAAGAGAATCCCACAAGAGTGTTCCACAATTGCCGACAAGAGTGTCCTACGAGAGATTCCTACAGAGTCTCCTGCAAGAGTGTTCCGCAAGGGTGTCCCACAAGAGTGTCATACAAGAGTGTCCCACAAGAGAGTCCTACAAGAGTGTCCCTCAAGAGTGTCCCGCCAGAGTGCCCTGAAGAGTGTCCCACAAGAGTGTCCTACAAGAGCCTTCCGCAGCCTCACACAACGTGTCCCACAACAATTCACAAGAGTGTCCTTTAAGGGTTTCCGACAAGAATGCCTTCTACAAGAGTGTCCCGCAAGAGTATCGCATAGAGTGTCTACAAGAGTGGCCCACAAGAGTGTCCCACAAGATCTTTTAATTTTATTTTTGTTCTTGAGAGATAAACGATGTAGTGTCTAAACGTTGAGGCAAATTTTGTGTTACAGTAGTGTTTTCCTTTGGGTGGGTATGTTTGCTTTGCAGAGCGGCGCGACGTGTGCATGGGCACGCAAAGGCAAGGGCTGAGTATCAAGTTGTTCCTTCAAATACCAAGTCTTAATAATTTATATACAAATTAATGTTCCTCAATTGTATTTGTATATCTATATATGAATACATACCCATATTTATATATATATATAGTTATATGTATTTTGACTTGTATATATATTTATATATTATGCATCTACTCAAATTGTAAACAATGATAAACAATGTAAAATATCAATATGTGTGCTGTCCACAGCCAGGTTGAAAGGGTTCGCCGTGCTGATGGTCTGGAGGTTTTGGGTCCAAGTGCAGGTTCTGAGGATTTCAACAGCGGCTTGACACTCCAACCCTCGCACGTCGCAGACGGTCTTCCAGGTGGTTGCGGCCTCTGGGCAACCACGTGACTTTCATGTGATGGAGCACCGCAGGGGTTCCCAACCGGCTTTGATGGGCATGGTATTCCATATGGATTCCGACAAACAAAGAGTGGTTGTGCTGTTGCACAACAACATCAGACCTTCACACACACATACACAGCAAAAGGAATGGTGGGGGACCGCAGGGCGACAGGATGAGGATCCTTTTTGCCCAAGAGAAAAAACATTCCTGTTGTTCTGCAGGGCTATAGTTCTTCCTTTTGCAAGGCCAAATGACCCCAATGAATTGGCATCCTAAGTCTTTTTCCGTAGCAAACCAGATGACACCCAGGAATCTCTACAGATTTCTACAGTTTTTTGGCTTTTGGAATGGTGCGACTACAACTCTGACGCTCTGTAGCTGTAGCAATTCCCAAAAGAACAAACGTGCTACAATTTGTTCGGGAACATGTTCTGGTATGTGCGATTGCCTTGGCCCTGACTGATAGTGTTCCATTGGTTGCCCCAGTGCTCTCTCAGCCCCTAGTGCCAGAGTTTTGCATGGCCCTTCAGCAGACAGGATGAACTTCAAGTGACAAGAGACAGCGGTTTGGTTTAAATTGGTCTGATGTACATACCCCAATTGCAGTTTTTGTTGAACATGCCTGTTTTGTCGCGCAGTGATGGCCTTGCCAGGCTACATGCCATCGCAGTGTCTTCTTTTTGAAGGCCATGTGCTGCATCGCACGGGCCCCTATGAGGTGCCTAGCCGGCTTTTGCTTGCTTCCCCGACCGAAAAACGTGCGGTGGTGAAAACGAAGTTCTGATTGGAACAGGAGGTTTGTGAAGCAGAAATCTTCAGCCTTGTTCTTCAAACGGATTTTGGAGTCCTGTTTGTGACCTTTACAGGCTGTTTGCGAGCTCAAACCAGGGCATCAAGTTCGGTCACTTGTAAGAACCAGGAGGGTCACTCGGAGTTCTGATGTTTACCAGGTTGCCAGCATTCTGCAGGTCTGGGTCTTTTCACTCTTCCAAAGGTCTTTGTGCTTGGTGACCTGTTGCAGGTTGGTTCGTGACTCTAGTGTTTCAGGCCCTTTAATAGATGGGAAGATCGGCATTCGAAGGACCCTAGGGTCCTAGATCAACTGAGCATTGAACAGTGAATCAGTATGAATCAGTCGATCAGTTCATAATGAGCTTTCAGTGTTTTTTTTGGAGATTGCTTTCCAAACGTTTCGCAAGAACAGGTGGAGTTCGTTCGGGGAACCGACCAGTCCTCCGTTTCCGGTTTCGGACGCGTTTCGTGAGGATCGGAAGGACCTGAGAGTCTTGGCGTCCTTGATGGCCACTGGGCAGGAGCGAAGAGGGACCAACTGGAAGCACCGCTCTCACGACTTGGGTGTATTTGGAGATATATAGCGCTACCTCTCAGCACAGGCTCTCGGGAGTACTTCTGCCAATTCGTTTTGAATCTTGAGACCCAGCTGATCCAAACACGTGGTGGATGAGTTGGATTCGATTTTCTGCATCAAGACAGGATTCTGCTGGAACCTTACTGTTTTGGTAGGGCTGGGCAGGAAACACCTCAAGGGTTCCCATTAATGAAAATACTGAAGCTGCCGACTTGAATATCCCGCTCACGAACAGGGCCCCCCACTTTCTTTGCAATCAACATATAATCAATATGTTTGCTGCTGAAAAGTCCAGGCTCTCTTTTGGCTTCGTCACCAAGAAGGTCGGAACAATTTATGACTGGACTGGGATCACTTTGCCCTTTTGCCACTCTGTGCCACTCCCAGGTGGGCCCCAAGCAGTCGGAGCATTGGCTGGAAGTGCAGCAGAGCCTTCAGAAGCAGGGCGCTTGCTTCATTCGTCCGCCTTGCAAAAGCGAGACATCGGATGTCAAAAAACGGTCCAAGGACCCCGTGCTGCCCGGGTGGGGAAGGACGATGTTCGTGTTCGGGTCACAGTCTTGTTGGATGCTTCACGCAATCTAGCACGGCTAGCACGCCCTACAGTAGCATCCCCAGCTCATCCATGTAGCTGGCTTCCAGACTTTCTTCCTTCAACACTCCTTTTAAACCGACCAATCACACAACCTATGCAGGCGTCGGACCGACCTGACCAACCTTGACCGGATGATGTGGACCGCGTTCTTAGACAAAAGAGGAGTGGCGCCGAAGAGCTGCAGAGGATGGTCACGGGATGGTATGTGTTCTTGCATATGTAGACTCAGTCTATGATATTTCAACTTATTTGACGCCTCTCCCGAGGTTTGACAATCCATGTCTGGGGGTATTTTCTGAATAGAGTCTACAGCAAAATAGAACTGCAACTCGAGCAGTAGTGCAGACTTAGAGATCCTTCAAGGTCGCCACCTTTAGGTCCTTTAGCAGTACAGACCTTCACGTTCGGGACGACCGCGCTTGGCGCTGAAACAGCATCTTTCAGCTCCCCGAAACGAAAGCTTTCGTGGGGCATTGGATACAACCATGGCCACACCAGCAAGTCGTGGTCACCGGCCAAGCAGTTTCTACACCGAACTCGGAGGACCAAACAGGTGGTTTTCACTCCACGAAACCGCGGGTTTCATTAGCTTGTCAGTCACTCACGTGAGGGACGTGAAATCAACATACTTGTGCTCTGTTGGTACAATCTGGATGGATCCATCCCACAGCATGGAACCACCTACACCACTATGAGCGGCAGTATAGAGAATCCAGGCACCCTACAAATGCAATCAACCGGATTCAAACGGGATCTAAATCCATAAGGCTGACCTGGTAAGCTCTATATTCTAAGTCAAACTTGAATGTGGAGCGAACTCTACGGTTCCAACTCCAGAAGAACCCTGGACTGTGCAGACAGACCTGTATTTCTCAGAGAAGCGGCCCTCAGAAAAGGAAGGGAAAGTCAGTTTGTTTCTCTAGAGTTACAAACATATTCCATTGGAAAGAGCATGTTTTCAAGATTTAAAAAGTCAAACGTCAACATAGTAGTCGGTGCCACAAGTCAAAGTCAGAAGAAAGTCACTTGGCCAAGAGCCGTGTTCTTGTTTTTTTTGTTATATATTTGTTTTCTTTTTTTAAAATGTTTTTTTAAAGGTTGTTTATTGATGTTTATTGGTTGCTTTCCAATTTTGTTGTTTTTTTTATTGTTTTGTTTGTTTCCGACATTTTTTTGTTGTTTTTTCTTTCCAAATTTTACATTTCCATTTGACTTTGACTTCTCCATGTTATAGTTTTACTTTGACTAGTTTTTTCATTGTTTATTATATATATATATATGTTCTATTTTTTAACAGGCTGTCCTTACCATATGATACATTTTTTGTAACTAGATATTTCCGCTAGGTCAGTGAGCGTTCTCATGCAAGCTTCTTTCTTGAGCTTGCACTTGCACGAACAACCAACCCCGCCGCTGCTGTAGAGAATGAGGTCTCAGTATATGACTCGAATCTTGTTTATGGTTGCGTGCACCCACAAGAGGATCACGTGGTGTCGCCCACAACTTCTCAGAAACCCAACCGAATGAACCAGTTTGAGTCCCGCACCCACTGTTGGCTCCAGTTCGCTCCACCGTAGCTTCAGCCAGATGCAGACATCTTTCGACCATGTAAAACAAGAGGCAGCTGCAGCATGGCACCAAGAGAAATATCGCATCACCGCATCACATGACATGACGCCATAAGCGAGGACTCATACCACTTGAACATTAGAAGGCGTACATGCCTCGATGCCGACCCTCAGTCTTGTTTAGCCGATGGTTTTTCCCCACTAAGTCTGGTCGTGTTGGCGACCCCAACGGGGGCGTTCGCCTGGGCGCGCTCCACGGTCTTCGATGCGGGAAGACTTCTCAGTTTCGCTCCAAAAGAGTGGGCCGATGGGTTCGGGTGGGGCAGGTCGTTACACGCGGTTACAGTCTTTTTTTCATTTTGTTTGCGTGGACCCAGCTGTCCTTGTTTGGGGGAAACTCAGAATCCCCATTTCTTTTTGCTGAGCATGAGACAAATGAGTCGGGGATTTTCCAGTATTTCAGCAAGCATGGAAGAAGCTGGGCTGCTGCAAGCTTCGCAGCCCCAAAAGCATTGGGCTGGTGAGTTTTGAGATTAGTTTGGCCCATTTCTTCACCAAGCGGACTGACAGATCTAAAGACCTTTGCAGAAACCGAGGCTTTGTTGCGGAGCGGCACGGCCAGTGCAGCCGTGTTGGGCGTTGGGAATCCCAGGCGTTGCGACGTGCTTCATGTGACACGTGTGCTCCAATTTGGAAGCTTTTGTGGTTCCTCTGGCAGCAGTGGAAAGGTGATCGTTATTTGTTTCACACAGTTTGTTTGTTTTTTTAATGAGCCAGCAGTGAAAAGGTGAGAACTGTTGTATGATGAAGTGTTGCGTTTTGAGTGCAGACACTTGTCCAAGACTCTGGGTGGGCCTTGGACATTCTGCACCCGTCGACCTTTTTGATCCTGTCGATGCATGGAGCACTGAGTGGTGCGATGCACAGAGGTTGGGCGCACGACATGTGTATTTATATGTATTTAATTGTGTATATTATTGTATATTAATGGGGAGAGAGACACCCCGGCCCAATGGGTAGACTGGTCTATTCTTTGTTCTTCCAGGGGGTGGGTCGAACTAGGAGGTCTTCTTATTTTAATACATTGCCATATGTGCAGATATTCACTTTTCAGCTTTCAATTCCGTGTCTCGGATGGGAAGACGCGAACTTATGTCACTTTCACTGTGTCCAGTTCAGTGTGAATGGGTCAGAGATGCCCCAACTTTTGGCTCTTGCTCTCCACAACAACGTTCACTCAGGGACTGTTCAAGGTTTGATGCCACTGCTTGGGGAATGAAGGTCAAGGGCTTCTCTCAGCATAGAAAACACACCTGAGCACTGAATTTGTTGTTACCCCTTTGCTCAACTCCCAGAGTCCCTAGATTTCATTTCCACCCCAAGAATGACCCTCAATATAGCGAATATAGATGTCCATTCCCCAATACAAAGATGAAAGCGGCTCATATTCCCTCCAGACCGAAGATTCCAGGATGGACCCTCTCGCTGGTCAGCTTGTTCTCTCATAAGTCCTCCATCCACCTCGCAGCTATCACCGATCAAGACATGACCGGCGCGACAGTTCCGGCGCCCGCTTTTCGAAGCCGGTGGAGAGGAACGTTGGAGCGTTGCCACTCAGGCCATGCGGTAGGGTTTTGGAGGTGGGTCTAAGGTTTTCCTGGCGACGTGGGCCACGAGGTGCCGGGAGGGTGGCCACAGAGCCAGATAAGCCATGAAAGAAATATAAACCTGGCCTCTCCAGCTGCACAGGAGTGCATCGCACAACTGACTCAATGGTAATTAAGGTATAAGACTAGTATAAGACATGTATAAGCTGAAGCTGGTAGAGCACTAGGATCGGGAGTTTCCACCTGGATCTTCAAACGGCACTAATTCTTGCCGGAGGCAAACGTAATCAAATGTAATCAAAAAACATGCCGTTTAAGGGGGTTGCAAACATGCGCTCAAAATCCATGGATGGGGAAAGATGCCCTTTGGATGCCTAAAGACGCCGTTTGGCCGCCGTTTCTTTTTGGTGGCTGCCGGTTTCCGCTGGTCACCACAAAAAAAACACCGTCTTTGGAAAAATACGCCGTAACGGTATTTTTTCAGGTTCATGTGTTTCAGTGACTATCAGAACTGGCTGAGCCCACAGTGATCTTGTGCATATCACAGCCTTTATGGGCCCAAATCATTGATGCATGCAAACTCAAAGCAGAGGAGTGGGGAAATGGTTCCACCCTCCTCCCAGTGCCCAGGAAAAGGCCAGTGTCGGCGGATGTGAAAGCTACTAGTATTGATGAGCCCCTTCAAGTTAGCGCAAGGCGGACTAAGCAAGCAATCAATGCTCTACCCAAGCAACCAGCAACCAAACCAGGTCTTTCATAGGCGCTCCACGCTCTTTATGCTGGTGGTGGGTGTTTCCATGTCCTTAATGTCCGGTCCAACGTCCCACAGGCCCACACCAGGTAAGGCGGGTTCCATGTCGCTGAGGAGACTGATGTCAAGCTTGAAGCTGGTGGATGCTGAATATGGAGACGAGGAGGCTGTCAACACTGCACATGTGGTCAGAAGGGGTGCTCCTACTGATGTAAATTGCTCTTATCCCATGCATGAAACATTGCAAGTTACAGGATAGTTTGCACCAACCCCTTAGTAAAATGCACTTATTGAATGACTTGCATTTGCTGCCCTCTTCAAAATGTGCTAAATTCCTTGCTACATGTACGTTTTGCATCACCTGTATTTGCCTCCCACTTGAAAAAGCACCTTCAACAACAAAACAACATATTCTGAAACGCTGCCCCCCCACCCCCACAAAACTTCTAGAACATTGTGTTTGTTTGTTGTTTTGTGTTTTTAATGCTTGTCTCACTATTTTTTGCATTTACAAGGGCTTGTTTGTTTTTCCTTGATTTTCTCAAGGATTTATAGATTGTTGTTTGTGTCCGTGTTATTTGTGTATTGCTTTGACAATAATACTCGTACAAGGTTTTCAGTAACCTCGACCCTATTGGTTTGCTAATGGTCTTATGCTGTATCATTTATTGCTACCTAGCACTCTTGATTTGCTATTTTCCTTTAACTAGCTTTCGCTTCTTTATCTTGATGTATTTCTTCACGTATTGGTTCGTGTTTTGTGTGTTGTTTTCAGTTTTTCTACAACTAACTAAAGTATATAATTTGGTTGTGCTCATTTTGCCGCTCCTGCTCATCCAATGGTCCAACGCTCTTGAAACAGTTGTTCCTTTGTTCAATTGCTGCTACCTTCTCTTACTTACTGTAATATGTTCCACTATTCATCTAGCTCTCTTTTTGGTTTGCATGTCTTCCTTTTTTTTGCCCCTTCCTTTGTTGAATTGATTTGTTTGGTCGTACTTCTTGGCTTCTTCTTTACAACACTCATTGTTATGTTGTTCACAAGCTGTGCCTATTCTCAATAGAGGCTTCTCATTTAGACAAACATATATGTATTCTTGCTTAGCTCTTTCTATGATTGGATTCCTAGGCCAGAGGCAAACGGGATGATTGACTGCTACCATTGCACTACACTATACACCATAACGTATTAGACACATTC